CAAATCTTTCATCTTTCCTATTGAAATAGTTTCTCATTGCTTTCTATTTTGCAGTGTGTAGCCTCTCATCCTGACACCAGAATGTTGTTCCTCAAAGGTGACGATTCTCTTCCTTTTTTTGTTTGAAGTTCTCTTATCTGTTTGTCAATGGCATTAAGCTTGGCCTTTTTTATATATACAATGACTGTACTTTGTGATATGTCATTGGAAAGCTAGAATATTGTTGCCTATATTTATTTGCAGTTGCTTTTGGGTGCAAATTCTTTCCATAGCAACTACACAGTCACAAAAATCTCAACTCTCCTCATAGTTACATCTCTTGTACCTTAGGCACTTGCTTAGTGCTTTGTCGGTTAACTAGCTTCTCAAGTGTAAATATGCCCATTCATATATTTGTCATTTGAAAAATTATTTCAACATTATTAAAAGCATTTTTGACTAAATATTTATTTATGACAGAATAAAGCACAGATTTTTGTGAACGATATGGATCGTTGTATCATGGATTTTCTTATAAGCTCAATGATTAATTGTTTCATCTGAATCTTCAATGATGAAAATTAATGTTTTTATCAGATGCATATGATTTTTTTTACTTATTTTTCTTTTATGACTACGAAAATGTAATAAAGCATATCTTATCTAATACTTCTTCTATAAATGATATTTGTGATGCATGTTCCTATTCATAAAATAAATTCAAAAACCTCGGTTCAGCATATGAAAGCTCTTGAGAAAACTAGAACTAGTAATGGTTGTGTCTGGTTTGAAACCCACTTATTTTCATATAAGATTTTCATATAAGATATTTTCTAGGAAATCATTTTTCGTGGAAAACACTTTCCTTCATAGCATATAAATGCTCTTGGGATAATATTTTCTTAGTAGTAATGGTTGTGTTTGCTTTACAATTTCATCTTTCCAAGAGGTAAAGTTTTTACGGGATTGAACATAAACAGAAATAGAATTATTATGGGAAACTTATTTAAAATATTTCTGATAAAAAACTCCTTGCTCCAATAAAGCATACAACACAAGTAGTGTTCACATTCTGCACCCGAATTTATCGGGCAACCGTGCTCTTTAAGATTTATAAATTTGTAACTGTTTGTATGATCTCCGTTGTGAACTCATTTGATTCAGTTTTCGTCCCTTAAAACGGAGTATAATGCGATTATGTTGTTGTTCTTCGGTCTTTAGTAGGTCGATCGATTAGTGATTGATAGTCCATAAAGTTGCACAATTTGACTTGGTTCCATACTAAAAGCGCAGAATTTGACCTACTGGTTCCATGCCACTTCAATCTCCTCTTATTGATCAAACATTGTATATTTTTACCACAGTTCCTTGTATAGCCATGCTCTGCTCTGCATCACCCATAATTGTGAAATTTAGTTTAATATTTAGTTAACACTTCAATAAAGAAAAAGTTTTAGAAAGCAGATTAGTACTTGGCTTGGGGTTTGTTTGTAGCTATTTGGTTTTTGATGCATCCTTCATATGATTTAACGATCTGTTTTTCTACAAGTAGTTGGCTAGAGGAACGTTGGAAGGGGTCTCTTCAAAGGGGGTCTGTTGTGTGTATTTGTAGTTCTTTTAGAAAAGATAAGATAGTAATAAGGGTATTTTTGAATTGAACTTTCAAGTTACGGGTTATGTTTTTAATATAGAATAGATATAACCCTTATTTACTTGTAAAAGGGAATTCCACATACACAAGTCAAACAATAAGATCCAAATAGTATTCGCATTAATGCCATTTTGCAAATCTTTGGGGGACAGTTCGAATTTGATTTACATATGAAGACATTGTACTTGAATTTATCATATCCAGGACTTATAGTAAAAAGAACATTATACTTGAGTTTTCTTTTCCTTGGAATTCAGAACTGTCGAGTAATAAAGACCATCCTTCCTTGGCAGTCACTGATGTCCATAAAGAGGAGGAAATGAAGATTTCATGTTTGTGGCCTTAGGTTCATTACAACGCTGGTTGGTGTAAACAAGCATGTTGTCTTAGACTAAGGGGACGTTTGGCCATAGATTTCCCAAATAATATTTGGGAAAAAATTTGACGAATAATGTTTGTCCATATAATTTGTCCTTATTTGGCAAATATCTTTGGCAAGTATCCCAAACTTCCAAATACTAGTTTTTTCTAGTATTTGGGTCAAATCTTATTATTTGGGATCTCTTGAAAATTGAAAATTTATCCCAATCTTTTATCTTTTACAAAAACACCCGCTATAGTAGTTGTTTGCATTGTATTACATAATTTTTTACGTGAACACCAAAGTATTGAGTGAATATTAAATGATGATATGATTATTGATGAAAATGATGAAAAATAGGCTCAAGGTGACAAAGTCACGTGCTTTGTCTACTTCATAATTTATGGAATAATGCTTGTTGCACTCACTCCAAACTACCACACGCTCTAGTGTCATGGATACTATTTGTTATTATTGTAACGAACATCCAATTGACTTGTAATACAAACTTATAGTTAGTTTTGATAGTTTTTAAAACTTATGGGTATAAATCATATTTTTCTAAATAGGTGAAATATATTTTTCAAATACTGTGGCCAAACATATGGTGAAATTTCACCAAAGTTTTACTCAAATAATATTTGCCAAGAATATTTGAAAATCTATGGCCAAACGCTAGCTAAGTTGTTTGGACTCTTCACTTTTTGTGCCGCACCCGTGTCGACACAACATGTGTGTGGGATCCGTGTCCGATTTGGTCAACCAATATTGGATACTTTGACCAAAATCAACGGGGATATCTGGACAGTTTTAATGATTTCTATAATTGATAAGAAAACTAAGATGAAATTGAAGAAAATGGAATACCTTTTATATAGAAATTTCTATGTCACTCCTATTCCTTTAATCTCCTTCCAAGATTCTCGTCAAGTTCTCCACAAAATATCTCATAATTTAGGTTATATAAGTCTATTTTTAGATATTTTAAAAATTTTTAGGCGAACCTCCGCACTCATATGCATACATGGATCCATATCCCCGAATTTTAAAAATTAGATCATGACCTCTAGATCCGCACCCTTGTGCAAGCAACTTAGGTCTTAGATAACTACCCCAACTCCATATTATTCATATACAATGCTGTGTAACCTTCAAAAACTTAAAACTACATCTCATAAAAAAGAACCAAATCAATGGACTTCATAATCATGATGTGTTCTTGAGATCTGGATAGAATTTTGTGTGATGATAATTGCTATTGTGATCCTTCATAGTTGTGATATATGGTTTCCTTGAATAAATCATTCTGACTGTTTTCTACTTTGCAGCACATATTCCTTTGTATCTGTACCCCTTTCTTAATACAACGAGCAAGTCAAGACCTTTTGAATATCTGAGACTTACAAGCTTAGGTGTCATTGGTGCCCTTGTGAAGGTTGTTGTCTACTGTATTTCATACATCTCTTCTTATACTTCCATTGTTATTAATGTAAAGATTTCATTCATGATCATATCTACAGGGAATGACATGAGAAGGAAACCATGACTAGTTATAATATCAGGAGCTAATGATGCTATGTATGATATGCTTCACCTACCTTATTTAATTGTTATTCTAAAGCTTCAAGGTACTTTGTTTTTCTCCGCGCAGGTAGATGATACTGAAGTTATCAGTTTTCTTCTTTCAACAGAAATAATTCCGCTGTGCTTGCGCACGATGGAGATGGGGAGTGAACTATCGAAAACTGTTGGTCCTTCCTCAAAGCCAGTTTCCAGTTATGTCCTTCCTCGACTTATATTAGATTTTCAAGCATCTAATTTTGTTCATGCTGGCAGGTTGCAACTTTCATTGTGCAAAAAATTCTTCTAGATGATGTGGGTTTGGATTACATCTGTACCACAGCGGAAAGGTTCTATGCAGTATCCCGAGTTCTAGAGAATATGGTCGGCACGCTTGCTGAACAACCTTCATCAAGATTGCTGAAACACATAATTAGGTGCTATCTTCGTTTGTCAGATAATCCAAGGTTGGTTTTCTGTATATCAGCATCCTCATTTTCCTTTCAGCTTGCTAAAGGTGATGTGCCTGGTTTATGGCAGGGCATGTGATGCACTGAGAGGTTGTCTTCCCGATATACTTGGAGATACCGCCTTCCAGAGCTGTCTTCGTGTACGTAATACTTGACCATATAAGTAGCTCCCCCTGCATTAGACCCTTGTTATTTTTTCCTGACCATGACCCTCTTTTTTGCGTTATGTTATCAGGACGATCCAATGACAAGGAGGTGGCTGCAACAATTGCTCCATAGCGTTAATACGAATCGGGTTCCTCTACAGGCTGGAGGATTTGATCATATACTGTGAACTGAATTTCATACAGATAGAACTTAAATTAAACTTCCTAGTCTTTTGTTAGAGCACTTTTGAATGCATTTATGCGCTCATGTTTGTATATGTAGTCCATTATGTGAATAATTATTAAGATTATTATTTGGAGAATAAGAATATTATTGAACCATTTAGCAAACTTTTTTTTTGTTGAGGATATATAGTTACTGAGTCGACTTCAAGTCCTCGATGTAAGTGCTCAAATTTATATTTATAGTTTTAGAAGTTAATAAAGATGGTTTCTCATTTTAATATCACATCTTGCATAATAAAGTAATATTGAACTGGATCATTCTTTGCAATTGACAGCATAATTTTTTCTTTATTATATTTTCTTTGAAATGCTTTATTTGAGTAGGTAGGGTTTATTAGAAATCAAGGTTAAGTTTGCATACATATTATTCTTTTCAAACTAAGCTTTTGTTATTTATGTATTAATTTTGTATGATACTAAATTGATAGGTTTTAAATGTTATATACAAGTCATTTATATTTGATTGTATTTTAATAATTCTATATAATATGGAAATTAACGTATAATTTTATGTATAATATTATGTAGATAGCAGATGAAATAAGTCATGCGGTTTAATTATATACGAATTGAAATAATGAAATTACATATTTAGCTCTATCCCTAAATTCGGGAACGTAGCAAACTAGCAATTTAGGCATTTCACGTTAGCGCTTTTCTGATACAACTCAGCTTTCTCCGCCCGGGAAAATATCGTTTTCGCGCGCGCGCTCCACCGGATTTTGAACATTCAGAACATATGCAATCGCCGGAAGTTTGCGCGATGGTAACCGACGCAAATAGGTTGACGCCGGCGGAGGAAGAAATTACGAACACGGCGACATCAGTACAGGCAGTGGAAGAGTTATTGAAATATCGATTTCAGAACACGAAGCTTCTAGAAGAAGCTCTTACTCACTCTTCCTGTCCTAATTTAATTACTAATTACCAGCGGTTAGCGTTCGTCGGTGACGCTGCTCTTGGCTTAGCTATTTCCAGTTATTTCTTCGTTACTTACCCTGATGTTGACTGTGGTAGGCTTACTGACCTTCGTTCTGCCAATTTAAGTACGGAAAAGCTTGCTAGAGTTGCAGTCGGGCACGGCCTTTAGAAGTACCTCCGCCGCAATTCATCAATCCTCGATGAAAAGGTATATAACTTTTATGCATCTACTTCACATTGTTATGTAGTTTAAGTTTTGTTGTAGTTTCTCCCTCTGTCCAAAAATAATTGTGGCTTTTGGATTTACTAGAGCCAATTTGACTAGTCTTCTAAGCTAAATTGGATTGCATTTATTTAATATTTTAAAATTGAAATTTAGATATTCATAAGATAAACATAAACTACTATAAGTTGCAATTATATCTATGTGGTGAAAAGATACATCTTAAATTCTTAGTCAAATTGAATATTGTTTATTTAACAAAAGAGAAGCTGATAGTGACATGTTTCTCGAGGCGGACGGAGTAACTATCAAACAATCTATTAGCATCTAATAGAGAGTGTATACAAGCAAACATTTAATAAAAATTAAGACAAATCCACCTAGTGATGCCACTGGTCAGATACTGACCTCTGCCTCGTATGTTAATGTTAAAAAATTGGGTAAAAACATAAATGACCCCTCGAGAATAGGGTATAAAGGAATGCCTGTAAAGTTGGAGGGTAATAGGCTTTTCTGGATAAGTTTGGGAGCGTAATTTGTGTGTTTTCCTTCAAATATTAAATACATGAAGGAAGGGAAATGACAGTTTTACCTTTTGAGATCATAAAAAGAAGGGTATACATGCCATCCCTTTTACACTTTAAGGTCTTTAAAAATGTACATATAACTAGATGGATGCTCAAAGTACAGTTTGATCATCTAAGTTGTGGAGGACTCCTAAGTGACTCGCTTTGTAAAAGTAGACAAAGTAGAAAATTTGAACTCGGGAGAACTCCTCCCAGTTACTATATGGATTGCTCATATAAGCAAGTTCCCCAAAAATTACGGAATGTATTAATCTAAAAAGTCCTTTGGTTTCACTAGTCTAGTTCGGCAGTTACATCTTATCAAATATATTTGTCTGTTTTGTTTCCTTCTGCAAGTCTTTAAATTTCTAAGGCCGTATTTGTTTCATGTAGTGAAGATTCCAGTAAGCCATTGCATATGGCACGTCACTGGCAACATTGTATCATTGCGCATTTCATTGGCACAAGACAAATTGAACTGATTACAATAGTTCCTTTGTGGAATTGTAATAGCAACATTGTATCATTGCACATTTCATTGGCACAAGACAAATTGAACTGATTACAATAGTTCCTTTGTGGAATTGTAATAGAGGAGACTTTGATTTTGCACATAGGTGAAGGAATTTGTGATAACAGTGCAACAGGAGGAGGAGATGGAGTTCTATGGATGAATGATTAAAGCACCAAAGGTTCTTGCAGACATTGTGGAGTCGGTAATGGGGGCTGTATATTTGGATTGTGGCTTTGATGTGAATGCTGTCTGGGTGGTCAGTTTCTTTTTTACTATTTAAGTTTGTATTGGCCAAGGATCTTATGGAAACTCTCTTTTCTTTATCCTTTCTGGATTTGGAGTACCAATGTATCTATCAACTACGCCTTTATCCCAACTAGTTAGGTTGGCTATACGGATTCTCTATATTTGTTCCTCTGGATTTTTATTATAACCTAAAAATGTGATTTATGTGGAAGCAAAAAGTTGAGTCTTGCTGGCTTATTGGCTATTAGTAAGTGCTTATAATTTACAGCCTCAGTGTAAGTATACAATGGGTTTAAACTGTTATTAATTGAACCTGTTTTCATGTAAACTGTAAAGCTAGTTATCCCTGTAATCTTTGCATAAAACTGACTCAAGCTGTACCCCTGTTTAATGTTTTGTACTTTTGGTGACTTTTGCTGCAAGCCGAGTGATGTCTGAGTAGTCATTATGTATATGCTTGTTAATTTTCAGAGGCAAAACCTTTTTCCTCTAGTAATGTTTTTAATGTGTTATTCTCCAATTGACGAAAGAAATTATTAGCATGTATTCCTAAAAAAAAAAAATTCAATTGTGATTCTTTTTTGGTATTTAACTGGAACTCTTCTTTCAATTAAATTGTGTGCTTGTCCTAGGAATGTCACTTTTAAGCACATGTGATTTTTGCTAGCTTTTTCGGCGCAATTTGATCTATGTAATAGATATCATGCTGGAAATGATTAGGGATTTGAACAATTTTAATTTTGACACACTAGGTTAGTGCTTCCACAATCCTTTAATAATATTACCCTTATAGAAAAGGCTTTGTGTGTGTGTGAGAGAGAGATAGAAGGTTACAATTTGAAATTTGAATTTCTTTTACATGAAGAAGAATCTCATATTTGGGTTTCGTATCATTGAAAATCTAACTTGGAAGGGAAGAAATGATGAGGTATTACAATTGCAGAAAATTGGTGAGTGATTCAATGAGAAAGCCCATGGGATCCAATTTGCCCAGACAGGCACCTGTAGGCAGATGTAGCATTTCTTTCTTTGCTCCAATGATTGATTTATTTCTTGGAAGGGAAGAAATGATGAGGTATTACAATTGCAGAAAATTGGTGAGTGATTCAATGAGAAAGCCCATGGGAGCCAATTTGCCCAGACAGGCACCTGTAGGCAGATGTAGCATTTCTTTCTTTGCTCCAATGATTGATTTATTTCAGAGATTTCATCAATGTCTTATGAATACAATTATTTTGTTGAGCTATAAATAGGACATTCTTGTTTTACAAAGAGAAATGACGTCCTGATGTTTAGATATCTAGTTGCCTTTTTTGATTTAGATCTTCAGAGGCTTCCTAGAGCCTATTGTTATGCTGAATACGTTGGAAGAACAACCACAGCCTGTAAAAATGTTGTTTGGACTTTGCAAAAAGGATGGAAAACAAGTTGATGTAGAACATCGGAAAGAGGAGATAAAAACATAGCTAGCGTCTATCTTGATGGACAATTTATTGCATCAGCTTCGTCTGAGCACAAAGAAAATGCAAAGCTTCAAGTGGCAAAAGCTGCTCTAAAAGAGTTGTTCTATAACCCTTTTGATAAGATGGATGTTGAATTTGTTCCATTCCAGAGAAAAAAGAGGGATTCTGAATCTATAACATTTCAGAAAAAAAAGATGGATGTTGAATTTGACCCAACAAAAGAGTGTGAAGGAGCAAAGCAGAAGCTAAACGGGCTTTGCCAGATAGAGAAATGGCCCAAACCAACTTACAGGTTGGTCTTTTTCTTTTGAGTGTAGTTGTTCTCATGAGTGACTTAGTGCCATTTTTGTCAGATATCTGTTTGGTGGATAAAGTTGTTACTTTCTTTGCTTGTACTCAATCTATAGCTGCAAGCAAATTGTGTTATCAAGTCTAACATGCTTAACATGTTGTATCGGTGAATCCTAGTATTATGTGCTTAATCCTGGTTGTATATCTCCTTGTCAATCGATAAAGGAAAGTACGGCAAGAAATTATTGTCATATGATCAAACATTGATTCAATACTTAGCAGTGAAACTACCAATGTTTCTCTACTCAGTAGTAGCTTTAAGTTTTGACTGCACGGAATTACATACGATCTTATTATTATATGGGAGTACAAAGACAAAATTAGGACTATATCATTCATCGACATACTAACATACATTGCCGACTTATACTCTTTGAGCAGACAATAGTAAAATGAACTTATTTAAGTATTTTGTTTAAAAATATTTTGAAATGGCTGGTGTTTGCGGTTTCATATTTTAAGATTTTATTTTCTCTTGAGAGCACTCCATATAAAATGGTTGTTCTGGACTAGCAACATAGTTAATGCATGTGTTCCATTTGGGATAGATTTTCTTAAGGTAATTCTTTCTGGATCTGTTTGTCTCAATATCCAGTTGCTGCCAATTTTTTTCTGTTTCTGTTGCAGTCACATTAAATGTATGAATTTGGTTCCATTATTGTTTGCTTTCGGATGTTTGCAGAGTAGAGAAAGAGATAGGTCCTGTTCATGATAGGAGGTTTATATGCTCTGTGCAAATTATAATTGCTGAAGGCATGCTTTTTGTGAGGGGGATGAAAAGTCACGAGTAAAAGATGCAGAGAATTCTGCAGCTTTAGCAACTATCCGGAGTATGCAGGAATCAAAGTTCAGTTGATTTGTTCATCGTTCCACATTCCAATTCCAGGATGAAGCAGGTACCAGGGTTCGTTTCAACTTGGAAGTATATCTTACTCAGGTTTTCTCTTGATTCATGCAATAATCATGTTTCGTGCAATAATCTCATTAATCACTGATGTTTGACTTTTTCTTTCATTAACAAATACCATATAGAAAAAATGAGCCTTGGTCCTAGAGCAACCCCAATGTAGTAGGTCATAAAGTGAGGATTTCCTAAATACCATATAAGGAGACTAATTTTTCTTCCCATAATCAATTTGGGACTCTTTAACACTATATGTGCAGGAATGTTTCTCAAACTCTTCAAAAATATCGACGTGAGTGCATGGGAAATACTTCAAAAGTAGTGCATTTTTGAAGGTTCTGACACGGGTGCGACAATATTTTTTGATGATCTCAGTAACATAGGGATTCATGACCTATAAAGTGCAGTGCACAAGTAAGACATGATCATTCCATATCTTACGAACTTAGTTGATTAATACCTATATATCTATGTTCCATGTCTATAAGTGCATTCATCTAAAGTAGGAAAAATGTTTTCAACTTTTACGCTGAAAAGAACATTGAGAAACATGTGAGATACCCTTGAGAAATGTGAAGCGAGCATTCTGAGCAAATTGTTTTAAGGTGCATGAGTCCAAGCATATGTGGGGCTATCACTGATATGATGATATGCACAAATTACATTAGAAAATGACTAGTAAATTTTATTATGATCACCCTCATTGATTTATATGTATATATATAGTTAAACTACCCAACTGGGCCCTTTTCATACGCAAAAATAAGATCTGTACAAAAATAATGACTTAGCCCAAAGTGCTAATACACACATAAAACAAGCGAAAGAAAGAAAGAAAAACAAACTACTACGCTAAAGGTCTAATTAGGGAAGTGGACAGAGAAAAGGACTCTCAATCCTTGTAGAGTCCGCTGGAAGTCTCTATCTCCACACCGTTTCCAAATTGCATCTCTACCGTCGGTGCTCCATTTATCTACCTCGAGATTCCCAAAAAATGGAATTGAAGATCTACATAAAGCAAGTTCAGTCATCTTTGTGCACTTAGTATTCCGAAGACGCACAAGTGGAGGAACACTTGCACGGGCTTGAATCTCATCCTCAGGAAATTGAAATCGGTAATCTCTGAGTTCTAGACTTCTCTGCTGTTAAGGTTGAAGTCGTTCTTCCAATGCAGATCTATAAGCCAAGACGTAACCCATCTGAAGCTTAATGCGTACAACCATAAGTAAGTTTTGTACCTCCTCCTTAAGTATAAACCCTATCACTGATTCTTATCTGGTTAATGGAAAACAATAGGAAAGACTATCATTTTCTTTTTGCAGATGATGATTTGCTCGGGTTCCCCTTCAAAACTTCAGTTTCAAAAACTATCATTTTAATTAGATTTGATGCCGAAGAAATTAAACTCCAAGTCAATCTCAAAAAAACGAAGAATATACCATTCAAAACAATCTCACAAATCTTCCCTTTTTGTCTTCAATTACATCAGAAAATGACCTATACATTTCATTAATGATCCTCTTCATTGATTATCAATAAATTCCATTATCGAAATATAGAATTTCTTTATAATAGATCGAAGATCAAACCTAATCACTATTAATAGAAAAATGATACAAAACTATTATTTTTAATTACGTTATATTCCAAAAGCTATTGGTTTAGTTGATGGTGTCGATCTTTTAGATAAAAATGATAGAAAAACTATTTACTTAGTTGATGGTGTCGATGTTTTAGATAAACAATAAATTTTCTTTATCAAAGTAATCAAACGGTGAATTTTGTCTTTGTACAGTTTGGGAACAGAAGAAAAAAGAGAGAAAATAAAGTAGGTAAAGCGAAAGGAAGAAAAAGATTACGACATTCGATTAAGGCTTTAGAATGACAAACTTACCTCAGTCTCCCTCAGTCGGTGTCAGCAGTTCCTCAAGAGGTGGTATGTCATCATCGTCTTCTAGTGAAGGAGCACCGGTCAATAGGGATCGCCAAATGCAATCTGCTCAACAGCTTGTGCTTGATATCTGCAACCCGAATCTTCGTGAAAATGCTCTTCTGGAACTTTCCAAGGTTTATTCATCTTCGTTTATTTTCGTATCGTTTTATGCTTTATATCGGTTCATTGGGGCGTGATTTTATAAATTTTAACTCTTGATTACTGTGAAGTTTTGTAAAATTGAGGGTATTCAATGCTTGTCACTTGAGAGAGAGTTGAATTGTAATTAGATTAACCGAAAATTGAGATGGAAAATGATGTTGTTGACTGTCGGATTTACCTATCAGATGCTTTCTGAGAACAGTAGGAGAAAAAAGAGATTTAATTCCATATACCTATTATAATCTGAATATTTGATGTTATCTTATTTGGGATCGATCTGTTTCATTATGAAGAAGCTTCAATTCTTGGGCAGAAAAAAAAGAACAATCTCAATGTCAAACTTTATGAATGATGTATAGTTAAACTGTGAATGTCATCTTACTTCTACCATCCTCTTCTAGTGAAATAGTGACACACACATGCTTATACAAACAATATTCTTTTTTTTGTACTGCTATGTGTTGATGAAACTTAACAGACAACTGGTTTTCAACTTCAGTGTTCTACCTAAGGTTGCATAACTGATTATCTAGAGCAACAGTGATAATCTAATTGATAAAATTGGACTAATGGGACTTTTTAACTCCGGCGTCTCCCTCTGGCTGCATAATTCTAATTTCTTCTTTTTGAGAAATTGTTGCACAATTGATGTCTGCCTTAATACTACTATTTTGCTGCTGACCCCTCTTCAACAATGTCCTCATATTTGTGTGTATTAGTATATGTGGAAGACCAACTAATTTGACGTTTTGGGTTGAGTATCATTTTGTTGGTCTGCCAAATATTCTTAAGATTTACCTAAAATCACTTGTTGTCTATGTTTTCCTTTTCCAGATGAGGGAAATTTTTGAGGATTTGGCCCCGGTATTATGGCACTCTTTTGGTACCATTGTTGTATTTGTACAGGTATTTTGAGAAGTCTTTCATTATTATTTAGAGCTTATTCCTTTCTCATATGCACATGAATGCTAAAGTACCACTCCACACTGTAATTCTAGAATTTCTTCTGTCTGTTCACACACACATTTGTTCAGTGATTACTTATTACCCATGCTTCACAACCCCCCACCCCCCAAAAAAAAAAAAAGAAAAAAAAGAAGATAATATCACCACCTGGAGGAGAAACTATTCTGTCATTTAAATCTGATCTCAAATTAATTCTTTTTGTGCCTTGGACCAACTTAGATGGTAAAGAAAAGCTACTATATATAGGTGGTTGTATGCTTTATCAAAACTAATAATACTGATTCAGTTAAAGTAACTCTTTCTATGATGATGAGATTCTGGACTTCTGTTCTCTCAAATATTTCATTCATATTTCTTGAACGTCTACTGTGGACATTTTCTGTCCAACTATTTGATTCTTATTTCTAATGTGTGGAAGTCACTATCTGTTTCTATAAGTTTGTAATCGTTTTTTGTACATTTGCAGGAGATAATTTCTGTCTACCCTGTTTTGTCACCGCCAAACCTGACTCCTGCACAATCCAATAGAGTTTGTAATGTACTAGCACTTCTTCAGGTATATTAAATTATTTTCCTTGTGGTCTTGTTCTCTGTGATTCGTGATTCTTGATACTTCTTCTATTATTCATTATTGTTGGTGACCTTAAAGTAATGAGTTATTGTCAAGAGAGGTCAGTAAACTAGATATGTTTGGGGTTGTGTTATAAGTATCAAGAGAGGTTGACGGTGAATGCAACAGACTAGGAAGTGTTGAAATTTCTATATATTTTTTTCTTTGTAAAAGAAAAGAACTTGTTCGTACTGAAATAGTTTTAAGTTTCATTTCTTTCTTGGAGCATGACAAGTATTACTTCCAAATGTCTGATGTTATCATAGTATAAGTGCTTTAAGATGTAATAGTATTCCCAGTCTGCCTTTGTTTGGTTAGTTCTTTTGCTGGTCAAGGTCAAGTCTTCTGTCCTTCATATTTAAATAGTTTTCCATTGCTTTCTATTTTGCAGTGTGTAGCCTCTCACCCTGACACCAGAATGTTGTTACTCCACGGTGAAGATTCTCTTCTTTCTTTAAAAGTTCTCTTATCTGTTTGGCAATGACAGTAAGCTTGGCCTTTTTCAGTCCTTTTCTGACTCTACTTTTTTGTGGAATGCCATTTATAGCAAAAAAAAAAAAATGTTGTTCATGTTGATTTGCAGTTACTTGTGGATGCAAATTCTTTTCCATAACAATGACACAGACACAAAAATCTCAACACTCCTCATAGTTACTCCTCTTAAGTTTTATTCCCCAAGCACTTGCTTATTATCATATTTTCACTTAAGTTAAACTCTTATTTACTTGTCAAAAAGAATTCCACATAAACAAGTCAAGAATAAGATCCAAATAGTATCAAATTAATGTCACCCTGCATTTGTTGATAAATCATTGGAGGAGAAATAAAATTTGATTTCCATATGAAGACATTATACTTGGATTCATCTTATCCACTACTTGTAGAAAAACTAAAATAATACTTGGGTTATATTTCCTCAGAATGCACAACTGTTAAGTAATAATGGCCGTTCGTCCTTGGTTGTCACTAATGTCCATAAAGAGGGAAGAAACAAAGATAACAAGTTTGTGGCCTTAGGTTCATTGAAGCACTGGTTGGTGCAACACAAGAATCTTGTCTTAGATAAATACCCCAGCCCCATATTATTCATGTAAAATGCTTTGTAACGTTCAAAAACTTTTATGTACATCTTTAATGAAAAAAGAAACAAATAAATGGACTCAATAATCAATGATGTGTTCTCGAGATCTGGATAGACTTTTGTGATATATTTGGTTTCGCTGGAATAAATCCTTCTGACGGTTTTCTACTTTTCAGCATATATTCCTTTGTATCTGTACCCCTTTCTTAATACAACAATCAGGTCAACACCATTTGAACATTTGAGGCTTACAAGCTTAGGCGTTATTGGTGCCCTTGTGAAGGTAACATGTCTACTGTCTGTAATGCGTCTTCTACTTTCATTGTTAGTATAAAGATTTTCATTCATGATCATATCTACTGGGAATGACATGAGAAGGAAACTGATTAGTTATAATTTCAGGAGCTAATGATGCTATTCATAACCTATCTTAATCAATTGTTTTTCTAAAGCCTAAATGCACTTTGTTCCTTTTGGTTTTTTTCTGCGCAGATAGACAACACTGAAGTTATCAGTTTTCTTGTTTCGACAGAGATAGTTCCTCGGTGCTTATGCTCAATGGAGATGGGGAGTGAACTATCAAAAACAGTTTGTGCTTCCCGAAAACCATTTTCCAATTACATCCTCCCTCGACTTGATTAGATTTTCATTCATCTAATTTATTCATACGTACAGGTTGCGACTTTCATTGTGCAAAAAATCCTTCTAGATGATGTGGGTCTGAAGTACATCTGTACCACGTCGAATAGGTTTTTTGAAGTAGCTCAAGCTTTAGGGAATATGGTCGGTGCGCTTGCTCAGCAGCCTTCATCAAGATTGCTGAAATACATAATCAGATGCTATCTTCGTTTATCAGATGAGCCAAGGTTAGTTTTCTGTTTATCACCATCCTGGTTTTCGTTTCAGCTTGCTTATGCGTGATATATCACAGCCCTTTTTGATCTCTGTTTCTCTGAGGCTAAAAATGATGTGTGTGGCTTATGGCAGGGCTTGTCAGGCACTGAAAAATTGTCTTCCCGATAGGCTTAGAGATGACACCTTCAGCAGTTGTCTTAGTGTACGTAATATTTCTCAATATAAGTAGCGCTACCCTCCCCCTCCTGTGTCATGATTTATTCTTTTCTCGGCATCAGACCCTTGTTATTTTTCCTTACCATGACTGTTTTTGTTGCATTATGTTAATCAGGAGGATCCAACAACGAGAACATGGCTGCAGCAATTGCTCCTTAATGTTAATGGGAATCAGGTTGCCCCAGAAGCTGGAGGATTTGATCGGATGCCGTGAACTGAATTCGTACAAATGGGACTTGAACTAAGGGTGAATTTCTGTACTCATAGGACGTGGAATTTGATGGAGTATTTAAGGAGGCATACTTGGGAACTTATCTGCACTCATATTTATTTATATGTACTGTATTATGTGAATTGTTGTGAAGATTATTATTAGGATATTAAGACTAGTACTGTACCTTTACTAAGCCTGTCTATTTGGTTTTTTTCACTTGGTGTCCGGTACTCTCGTATCAAGGCCTATCTAGATTTGGATTCGTGCTATTTCAAGCCTTCTGGTTAAGAAAGCAAGAATACATATCATTGTGTGTTTGGAATAAAGAAATTGCTTTCCATGGAAATATTATTTTAGAAAATGTCCCGTTAGAAAATAAGTGGGTTTTTTAAAATGAGAAAATGGTCAAAAAGTCTCCTTAATCTATATCGGAATTTTCAGCTGAACACTTTAACACTCGGGAGGTGATAACACTTTCGTAAAGTTAAAGTATGTAATTGGGAATCTGGATATAAATTAGGTTTTTTTTTTTTACCATTTCTCTATTTATTTTCTATTGTTTAGCAAGTAAGGAATTTTTTTTATTTCAAAATCATTTATATGTATTCTAGCAAAGCATTGTGAGTGATATATATACACATACATACATGGTACTTATAAGTTTTAACATTGGAAGGAGTACGAAATAAACACCCCATTTCTCTATTTATTTTCTTGCATTTAATGATATATATATATATATATATATATATATACATATATATATATATATATATATATATATATATTGGGAGGAGTTACATACCGGAGTAGGAAAAAAGCACCGCATAAATTCAATTAAATCTATTTAGAATATTGTTCTATTTCTAATCGTCTATGCATAATTTAATTAAAATAGTTATTTATATCTAAAGAAACCATGAAGAATCACCTATGAAGAAAAACACATGTTAACAACAAGGAGATAACAAAAATTGAGTATACCCTACGAAGAATCATACATGACCACCAACAATAGCTATGTGAAGTACCACCTATAAGATAACACTTGTATGAACAAAATGGAAGCACGAAAAGACACAAAAAAAAAAAAAAATTCACATTGAATATTTATATCAAACTAATTCAATTATAAAGTAAAACACATGTTAATTAATTAAAATTAAATAAAATAAATTATAAATTTAAACACATAACATAATATAAATACTCGGCACAAATAAATTTTAGGCTTAAGTCATATGCGGCCCCTTAAAGTTGTTCGCATAATTCACTTAAACACCTCAACTAAGACTATTACCTATTAGACACTTTAATATTAAAGAATATGTATCTATTGAACATAAAACGAAAATTTTTTTTAAAAATATTTTGTGTGTAGTTCACGCGCTTTGACTTAAAAAAATGACAAATAAAATTATGACACTTGGCACATGGACCCAATCTAGTAATAAAATATAATTTTTTAATTTAAAAAAATGAAAAATAGTTTCCCTTAATTTATTAATCACAAAAATATTAACAAAAGAAAATCCCCACCCCCACCTAATCCTTTGATCTTTCTTCTTCCTTTATCCATTCCTCTACCCAGTAACCACGACCACCATAACAAAAATAAAAACCTCCCTTTCAAATTTAATCTCCTATCATCTGTTATTCTCCATTTGTTTTGAGATTTTTGTGAAAATAAATAAACGTCAATAAATTGTTTTTAAGATTCATGACCAAGAAAAATTGAAAGTATGTTGAATTTTTTAATATCATCTTTAATAAATTAATGAGTGGCGATGTTTGTTCAACTGGAGTGATCGAAATAGAGCTAGACGAATATCGATCAATTTTTAACTCCAATGTTTGAATTTCTCTTCTTCACATATTAAATTAGCAGATTTTTTTTACAAAAAATGAAAAAAAAGAAAAAAGAAGAATGAAACAAAATGCTAAGAATTTTGAAACCATTAGAATGGTGGGGGAAGAAGATAACCACTGATGCTAAGAATTTTGAAATCATTAAAATGGTGGGGAAGAAGATAATCATTGGAGCATGGGTATGGGGGTTGTGTTGGGTTGGGGTTGATAGAAATAGGGAAGAAGAAGAACAAATCTTCTTTTTTGTTAATTATTTTTTTAAAAAATTAACTTAGGGGTATAAATTAAAAAAAAAGAAAAAATATTATTTTTAATAAATTAACGCGCTCAAGGAAAGTGAATTACACGTTTTTTGTCATGTCAGCATTTTGTGTCTAATAGGAATGACTTTTAAACAAATAAAGTGTTCAATTGGCACAAGGATTAGTTGAGGTGTCTAAATGAATTATGCGGACAACTTGAGTGGCCGGAGATGACTTAGGCCTAAATTTTAAACACATTCCATGTTGTACACATCTGTCCTAATTAAGCAATAAATGCACTCCTTTAAACTACCTAGGTTTAACTGGATTAATCTCGCCGTGCTTTTCTCCTGCTCCGGTATGTATCTTTTTCCATCGTTAAATTTGCTTTCTCTGTGTTCAATTGAATCCTTCTGCTGGTTTGATTTAGATTGATTCTGTGTGTTTGAATTTTGTTGCTGCATCGGCTTTATCTCTTTGAACTGAACTTGGGGTAATTCAATGGCGGATCTGTTTGTTTATGCGAGTTACGCCAGAAAAATCTGTGTGTCTTTCTTAGTTTGCCTTTTTTTTAAATTTTTTTTTTGAAATTTGCTGTTTTATTTGATTGTTTGATCTTCAATTTGAGTCGGACTGTGTGAATTGAATATCGCCGTGGGCAGCGCTACGGCTTTTTCCCTGTTTTTCACCTCTGGCATTACTTGTCAATAAACTTCGTGTTGACAACAAGATGCAATTCAACAATTTTAATTAACTCTCTATGTGTGCAAGCTACCTCTATGTGTGCAAGCTACTGCTTTGATGAATTGGTGTGAGCTATATTTTCCACATTTGTGCATTATGCTTCAGCTACAAGTAATTATATAATTGGAGGATACCCTCTTTTCTCATGTTCAACTGGCTGAGGTTGGTTAGTTCAACCAGTTACTTGATTAATTTGTTTTTTCATGAATTTGATTTTATTTCTCACCCAAATCTAACTACTTCTCCCATGGCTTCTCCTCTGTCTACTTCATTTTGTTTGACCTCAATAAACTTGGATAAAATATATACAATGAAACATCAAGAACCATTTTTCTCATTTCATAGCCAGTTATTAGAATGCAGCTTATGACATATGAATATACCATGGCTTGTTTTTGTTTTGCTCACAGGTGTCATTTTGTGCTTGACTCTCACATGATAGTGGTATGCTAACAGCAATAGTCTCGAAAATATTGGCTGAAAAACTACTATCCATGACGGCCGAAAAAGTATATCAAATTGTCGTTTTCAAGGTATACACATATATAGAACTACAATTAGACAAGCTTCTCTCTGTAATTTCTCCTTAAATTATATATGATCCACATCAATCATTGGCAGTTGCCTATATGAACTGCCAGTTTGCTCATAAGCTTTTCAGACTTCAGCTACAAAAGCCGTTATTCCCAAAAGCTTGGCACACTGATTTTCTCATCCTGCCCTGAAAAGAAGCCCTCAACATATGCGCTCCTCAGTGAGGGAACTAAGAAGCAAAAATTCAAACCACCTACTCATATGAAGAAACATTAATTTACGTTACAGTTTTTAAACTACTTATTTCCTAATTTCTTTGTTCTTTTACAATACCACATAGCTCTCATAAAAACTATAGTTGAGTGCGGCCAATATTCAATCACATGGTTTGACAGGTATAGCTGGATTTTGGTTTCCTATACCAACGTCTTATAATCAGCTGCCTCAATGAAGTTTCTCCTTTTTTGTGTAAATGACAGTTACTATGTCTCCGGTGCAGAATGCACAGTTGCGAGTGAATTTTTTGTTGCACTTTTTTTTGATACAGGTCCGTTTTTTTTCTGGGGAAGCACGGTTTTCGTGCGTGCTCGTTTCAACGGGAATAAGTTGTGTCGCTGCCACTGAAGGAAGAAGTTACAAACATGGCGATACCACTAAGGGCAATGGGAGAGTTATTGAAGTATTGATTTACGAACAGGAAGCTCCTAGAAAATGCTCCTAGATATGATTAAAAGGTATTCCTAAAACAAAATTTTCAATAGTGATTTTTTGTTATATTATTGAAACTCTTCTTGCAATTAAATTTTGTGCTTGTCCTAAGAATGTCACTTTTAAGCACATGAAAATTTTGCCAGCTTTTTTGGCGCAACCTTATTTATGTAATAGATTCCATGTTGGACATGGCTAGAGATTTGCACAATTTTAATTTTGACACTCTAGATTAGTGCTTCCACAAACCTTTTATAATATTCGCACTCCATTTGAAATTTGAATTTCTTTTACCTAAAGAACAATCTCATATTTGGGTTCGTCTCATTGAAAATAAAATTGGGAAGGGAAGAAATGATGAAGTTCAAAATCTCATCATCATAGAAAGAGTTATTTTAACTGAGCTAATATGATTGGTTCTGATAAAACATACAACTTTATAGTAGTTTTTGTTTACCATCTATGTTGGGCCCATATACAAAAATCATTAATTTGAGGTTAGATTTAAATGACATAATAGTTTCTCCTCCTAGTAGCTATATTTTTTTCCGGGGTTAATGTCTCCTTGAGAAGTAGGATCCATCTTTTCATTTACATACACCCAACTACAAAAAAGCACATTGTAATTGTATTTTGGGATATTCCTTGTATATTTAATTCCAACTTTTACCCAAAATTATTTTATTCCATTTTTTCCCGCCTTGGATAAAGCAACCCAAGATATACAATGAAATGACATAAATTGACTAGTTTCTATTATTGCAAAAACACCTTGCAATGAGCTAAATATATATTACAACAAAGGACGCTACCTGCAGCCTATGGACTAATGTAGGACTAGCTTCCACTTCGTCCCCAGCTAAAAGTTTCGCCAACCTCTTTATCATCCTAGACTCTTAAAAGACGTGGAAAAAACTAGGACTCTACAAGACATTTTTGAATTTTAACCAATTGAATTCCTTCGGAACCCCAAATGAAAAACCATTAAGATGTTTCCTTAATGACTTTGTTGTAAAAGGTCACTCAAATGCTTTTTGTTATTCCTAGCTTTTAATGGTGTAGTGTGAAACATATTTGATGAGTTATTACTTAAGATAATGTGTGTGAGAACATACTATTGAAATACTAGAATTATTGTGTGGACTGTGGAGTGGTAATTTAGCTTCATGTGCATATTAGAGATGAGATAAACTCTAAAATTACGATGGAACACTACTCAAAATACCTGTAGGAGTGTAGCGATAGTACCAAATTAGTGCCACAACAGGGGGCAAATTCGGGAGAAGTTACTTCTTCTGGAAAAGGAAAACAAAGACAATAAGTATAATTAGGTAACTCTTAATTCTATTTAGCGGAATATCAAAATGGTACTCGATCTAAAATGTCAAAGTAAACCTATTAAGTGAAGAGAATTAAAACCTTGAAAATCTCTAGAAGAGTGCTTTCATGAAAATTAGGGTTACAGAGAACAAACACAAGTTGTTCAACGGATTGCATTTTGCGATCCTTATTGGGCGGTGCTCCAGTGCTGAAAGACGATGATGACATACCACCTCCTCCTCTGAAGTTGCCAACACCTACGGAGTCCCTTCACTTTTCCTACTTTATGCTCTCTCATTTTTCTTTTGCTTCTGAAATGAATAAAGACAGAAATCACCGTGAATTTTATCTTTGTTCAGTTCGGGCAAAAAAAAAGAGAGAAAATAAAGTAAGGTAAGTGAAGGACAAAAAAGATAAAACATTCAATTGACGCTTTAGAATGGAGAACCTACCTCAATCTTACTCCGTCGGTATCGACAACTTTAGAGGAGGACCTGGTATGTCGTCATTGCCTTCTTGCGGTAGAGCACCCTTCAATAAGGATTGCAAAATGCAATTCGTTAAACAACTTGTGCTTGTTCTCTGCAACCCTAATCTTCGCGAAAACATTCTGTTGGAGTTTTTCAAGGTTTATTCTTCTCACTTTGGAGGTTTACTTTGACATTTTGGTTTGAGTATCATTTTGTTGTTCTGCTAAATAGAATTAAGATTTACCTAGACATATTTATTATCTTTGTTTTCCTTTTGACTGAAGGAGTTATTCTCGGATTTGGCCCCCTTTTTGTGGCACTCATTTGGTACAGTCGATGCACTCCAAGTATTTCGAGGAGTGTTCCATGGTAATTCTAGAGTTTATTTCATTTCTCAGATGCACATGAAGCTAGTACCACTCGGCATTGATTATATACTCTGCACCATTAAGAATAAAAGGAATCATCTAAATGACATTTTACAACAAAGCTATCAAGAAATTTTTTCAATTGGAGTTACTATGAATTTAAAATTGAAATTGTCCTGTAGTCCTAAATTTTACTCCCTTAATATCTTGTAGATTTTTTAGGATGATTAAATAGTTTTGTAAAATTTCTGGCTAGGGAGCTAGCTAGTCCCACATGGCCATGGGGTACTTCCCTGGTTGTATTTTGAACTCAGCTCATTGCAAGGTTGTATTTCCAATAATGAAAGCTAGACAATGTGTGTTATTTTCATTGTTTATGTTGGATTGCTTTATTATGTCTGAATAAAATGATTTGGAACCAAAAAAATAGGGCAAGTCTCAAATAAAATTTCGATTTGCTTTTCCGTATTTGTTTTGATGTAGATGGAGCCAAAACCCCACTTGGAGGAGACATTAACCCCAAAAAGGGAAGTATTAACTTTAGGAGGAGAAATTTTTCTGTCATTTAAATCTAATTTCAATTTAACTGCTTTTGTGTCTTAGCCCAACTTTGATGGTAAGCAGAAGCTACTATATCATATATGTAGGTAGTTGTATGCTTTGTTAGAACCAATATTACTGGTTCATTTAAAAAAACATACAATTTGGATATACAAATGTATTTATATATAAGTATGCTACGTTAAATTGAAATTGTAAAACACAAATATTTGTGAAACACAATTTAAAATCCAAAGAGAGTGAATGAAGTAGTGATTTAAGAACAGGATGCTCCTAGAAGAAGCTCTTACTCACTTTTCCTGTCCTAACTCAGCTTCTAATTACCAGCGACTCTGCGTTCATCGGCAATGCTGCTCTCGGCTTAGCTATTTCCTGTTATTTCTTCGTGACTTACCCTGATGTTGACTGCGGTAAAGCTAACTGACATGTCTGCTGCCGATGTGAATTTGTTAGAGTTGTTGTCCGTCATGGACTCTACAAGTGCCTTAGTCATGATTTGGCAGTTCTCGATGAAAAGGTACATACTAGTATCTAACTTATATGCATCTACTTCACATTGTTGTATTTTATCCTTCCGTCCCATATTAGTTGTGGTCAATTTGACTAATATTAATCTTTGGAGCTAAATTGGATTGCAATAGTTTAATTTTTTAAATTTGAAATTTGGATATTCACAAGATATACATGAAATACTATAAGTTGCAATTCATCTTATATTAATGTGGTGAAAAGATATATCTTTGAATGTTGGTCAAAGTTGATATATTTCACAATCGAGAAGCAGATAGTGACAAGTATTTTGAGGGCGTTGGAAGTAACTATCAAAGTATCAATATAAGCATATAATAGACACTGTATACAAGTAAATATTTCAATAAAAATTAAGACAATTTCGATAAAAATTAAGACAATACCACCTAGTGATGGCACTGGTCAGATATTGACCTCTGCCTCGTGTATTAATGTTCAAAAATTAGGTAAAAAACATAAATAACCCTCAAGAATAGGGTTCCCTTAAAGTTAAAACATGTAATAGGCTTTTTTTGGGTAAGTTTAGGAAGGTAATTTTGTGTATTTTTTTTCTTCAAATATTAGTTACATGAAGGAATTGAAATGACAATTTTACCTTTTGAAATCATAAGAGGGTAAACATGCCACCCTTTTACACTTTAAGGTCTTTAAAAATGTGTATATAACTAGATGAATGTTTGAAGTATAGTTTGATCATCTAAATTGTAAAAGACTACTCCACTTTAGAGAGTAACTAGCTTTATAGAAGTAAGCAAAGCATAAAATATGAACTTGGAGAACTCCTCCCAATTACTATATGGATTGCTCATATAAGCAAGTTCTCCAAAATTACGAAATGTATTAATTTGAAAAGTTCTTTGGTTTGGCTAGTCTAGTTCGGTTGTTGCATTTTATCCAATATGAGTGTCCATTTTGTTTCCATTTGTAAGTCTTCGAACTTCTATGAGCTGTACTTGTTTCAAATAGTGAAGATTCCAGTTAGCCATTCCATATGACACTTAATTTTCCTTTGGTAACAGTGTGTAATTGCGCATTTCATTGGCACTAGATTGTCAAACTGACTACAATAGTTCCTATGTGGAGTTGTAGTAGAGGAGACTTTGAATTTGACGTAAGTGAAGGAGCTCGTGATAACAGTGCAACAGGAGGAAGAGATGGAGTCCTACGGAGGAACGATAAAAGCACCAAAGGTCCTTGTAGACATTGTGGAGTCCATAATGGAGGCTTTATATTTGGATTGTGGCTTTGATGTGAATGATGTTCGGTGGTCAGTCTCTTTTACTATTTAAGTTTGTTTGGGCCAATGATCTTACGAAAACTCTATTTTCCTTATCCTTTCTGGATTTAGAGTATACCAATGTATCAATCAACTATGCCTCAATCCCCAATTAGTTAGGTTGGCTATACGAATTCTCTATATCTATTCCGTTAGATTTCTATTATAACTTGAAAATGTGATTTGTGGAATCAAAGATTTGAGTCTCACAGGCCTATTGGCTTTTAGTAATTGCTTCTAATTTACAATGTCAATGTTACTGTACAAGGGGTTTTAACTGTTATTTATCGAACCTGTTTCCATGTAGAGCTATTTATGCTTGTAACTTTGCATCAAACTGACTCAAGCAATACTACTGTATGTTTTGGTGACTTTTGCTGCAAGCTCAGTGATGTATGCTTGTTAATTTTTAGAGGCAAAACTTTTTTCCTCTAGTAATGTTTTTAACGTGTTATTCTCCAATTGTTGAATGAAAATGAATTAAAGGTATTTCTAAAACAAAATTTTCAACTATGATTTTTTTGTATTGGAACTCTTCTTGCGATTAAATTTTGTGTTGTGTCACTTTTAAGCACATGTAATTGTTGCCATCTTTTTCGGCGCAACCTTATTATGTAATAGATTCCATGTTGGACATGGTTAGAGATTTGCACAATTTTTATTTGGACTCTCTAAATTGGTGTTTCCACAATCCTTTTATAATAGTTGCCGTTGTAGAAAAAGGTGATTTATGTGTGTGAGAGAGAGGTCATCATTTGAGATTTGACTTCCTTTTACATGAAGAATAATCTCATATTTGGGTTTCGTCTCATGAAAATTAATATTGAGAAGGGAAGAAATGATGAAGTCTAAAATCTCATCATCTTAGAAAGGGTTATTTTCACTGAACCAATCGTATTGGTTCTGATAAAACATACAACCACCTATTTATAGTAGTTTTTGTTTACCATCTATGTTGGGCCAAAGCACAAAAACAATTAATTTGAGATTAGTTTTAAATGACATAATAGTTTCTTTACCTAGTGGCGATATTTCTTTCGAGGTTAATGTCTCCTCGAAAAGTAGGCTCCATCTGTTTCATTTACGTACACCAACTATGGAAAAGCATATTGGGGTTCTATTTTGGGACATTCCCTGTATATCTAATTCAATTTATACCCCAAATCATTTTATTTCATCTTTTCCTGGCTTAGATAAAGCAACCCAACATATACAATGAGATGACATAAATTGACTAGTTTCCATAATTGAAAAAACAACCTAGCATTGGGCCGAGTATAAATTACAACAAGGGATGCAACGTGCAACCCATGAACCAATGTAGGACTAGCTTCCACTCCCTCCCGACCCAAAAATTTCACAAACCTCTTTTATCATCCCAAGACTCTTAAAAGATGTGGAAAAAAAAATAGGACTACAAGACATTTTGAATTTTAACCATTTAAATTCCTCCGTAACACCAATTGAAAGGCCATTAAGATGTTTCCTTAAAATCATTGTCATAAAAGGTCACTCAAATACTTTCTTTTATTCCTAGCTTTTAATGGTGCAGTGTGACGCATTGTAATGAGTAATTGCTGAAGAAATGTGTGTATGGACAAGCAAAGGAAATGCTAGAATTACCGTGTGGAGTGGTACTTTAGCTTCATGTGCTTATGAAAGATTAGATAAATTCTAGAATTATAATGAAACACTACTCAAAATACATGTATAAGTGCAACGATAGTACCAAATGAGTGTCACAACAAGGGGGGCCAATTCGGGAAAAGTTCCTTCTTTTGGAAAAGGAAAATAAAGGCAATAAGTATATGTGGGCAAATCTTAATTCTATTTAGTAGAATAACAAAATAATACTCAATCCAAAATGTCAAAGTAAACCTCTAAAGTGAGAAGAATAAAAACCTCGATAAGCTTTAGAAGAGCGTTTTCACGAAGATTAGGGTTGTAGAGAACAAACACAAGCTGTCCAGCAGACTACATTTTCTGATCCTTATTGGGCGGTGCTCTGAGGCCGAAAGACGATGATGACATGCCACCTCCTCCTCCGAAGCTGATGACACTAACAGAGAAAGATTGAGGTAAGTTTGCCATTGTAAAGCCTCAATTGGATGTTTTTATTTTTTTCAACCTTTCGTTTATCCTACTTTATTTTCTCTAATTTTTCTTTTGATTCTGGACTAAACAAAGAAAAAATTGATCGTTGGATAATTTTGGTAAATAAAATTCACAGTTTTATTTTCAATCGCGGCACCATCAATGAATCGAACATGTGTTAATGTTAATTGGGAGCATTCCATAGTAATTCTCAAGTCAATCTAAAAAAAATAATATATCATTCACGATTCAGCGAATCCCAAAAATCTTCTTTTTGTCTGCAATTACATGAGAAAAGGACTTGTGAATTTCATTAATGATCCTCTTCATTGATTATCAACAAATTCCATCATTAATAAATATAGTTTCTTTAAAATAGTTCAAAGATCAAATCTAATCACAATTATTAGAAAAATAATACGAAAACTATGCTTTATTTTAATTAGGTTTTATTTCGGAAAATCTAACGATCAATCTTGAAAAATTACTATGGAATGCTCCCAAATAACATTAACACGTGTTTGGTTCATTGATGGTGCCGTGATTTTACATAAAACTGTGAATTTTATTTATCAAAATTATCCAACGGTGAATTTTGTCTTTTGTTCAATTTAGGAAAAAAAGAAAAAGGACAGAAAATAAAGTAGGGTAAGTGAAAGGATAAAAAAGATATAAACATATAATTGAGGCTTTAGAATGACAAACCTACCTTAATCTTTCTTCGTTGGTGTCAACAACTTCGGAGGAGGAGGTGGTATGTCGTCATCGTCTTCCAGCGCCGGAGCACCCCCCAATAAGGATTGCAAAATGCAATCTGTTGAACAACTTGTGCTTGTTCTCTGCGACCCTAATTTTCGTGAAAACGCTCTTTTAGAGCTTTTCAAGGTTTATTCTTCTCACTTTAGAGGTTTATTTTGACATTTTGGATTGAGTATCATTTTGTTGTTCTGCTAAATAGAATTAAGATTTACCTAGATATACTTAATGCCTTTGTTTTCTTTTTCTAGAAGAAGGAGTTGTTCCCGGATTTGGGCCGCTTGTTGTGGCACTCGTTTGGTACTATCGCTGCACTCCTACAGGTATTTTGAATAGTGTTCCATTGTAATTCTAGAGTTTATCTCATTTCTCATATGCGCATGAAGCTTAAGTACCATTCTACACCATTTAAAGAGT